GCGGCCAGCCTGGTCCCGGGAAGAGGCAGAGGGCTGGGGGGCAGCGGGTGGCTGGCTCGAGCTGTGCCAGGTATAGGGTCTGCTGGCTGGGTGCTGGCAGGCTTGCACCTGGCACGGGCACCGTAGCCAGACGAGTTCCCCGGGTGGTGCCCAGAGCGGCCACCAGGGAAAGCTGGGGAGGGCTAGCCTCCCACTAGTTCGAATTAAGTGGCTACACAGTACTTAATTCGAACTAGGAGTTAGTCCTCGTAGAATGAGGTTTACCTAGTTCGAATTAAGTTCGAACTAGCGGTTTGCCTGTGTAGCACCTATCAAAGTTAATTCAAACTAACGTCTGTTAGTTCGAATTATCTTTGTAGTGTAGACATACCTAGAGTGATTTGGAAATGTCTATTTAAAATAAGGAAAGGAAAGAAAAAGTCCTGGTAAACAATCAATAGCAGCATGTTTGTAACATTGTGGGGTTTTTATTTTATCCATTCATTTGTTGTTAACTGAAACGTTCTGAGGAAATAAAAAAAAATACTAAAGATTTGAGTGCCTCAGTGTAAATTCCCACACAATACTGGTGGATAGTTGTTGCTGGGGTTTGAGGCGTGGCCACATTGTGGGTGGCTGCTCTGGGGTCCAGGGCTGCGTGGCTCAGGCACTGGAGAGACGGAGGGGAGTAAACTGGGTAGCCCCCTCAGAAGGGCACTGGCAAAGTGTGCCCAACTGCACATTGATTATACACTTGATTGGCCAAACTCACAGTGAACATTGGTTGTTGTTGTTGGTAGTCATACATTCAGGTGTGTGTGGCATTTTACAGATACCTGCATCACAAGGAGGGGCCTTTGGAATGCCACATATGTGCAGGGCTTGCAAACATGGATCAGATGGCTGCGTATTAATTTTCTTTTTATCTGACTTAATATTAAATTAAATATTTAAAATCATGCACCTTGTTAATTATCCCTTGTTTTAGTATTTTTTCTTCCATAACATTTATGTTAGTTAGTTAGTGCCACGGTGGCATATGACCTCAATATTGGTGCACAAGACAAAACTCACTCACTCATGGATGAAAAAAATCTTAGAGGGAACACTAGTGCAGAGGAGCACATGGATCGGACAGAGACATCTCTTAGGGGAAGATGTAGGGATAACATATTAATGTATTGAAAATGATTCCCCCAAATGGAAGTGACTCCCCATAATTTGTTCCCCACAACTTAAAGTGTTTAGATTTATTATTAATTCTTATTATTACTATTATTATTTGTTAAGATTGTTAAATGTTTAGATTTATTATTATTATTGCCCCTTTAGAATATAATGTATTAGGTCATGTAACTTAGAACTGTTAAGAATATAATCCTATGTAGCCAGAAACAGCCCCCCCTCTGTGCCCCAGGGCATGCTCAAGCTTGTGCAAGGGGCTGCTTGAAATTGACATTGCAGAGATACATTGTAACAATGCATTGTCAAGCTACTAACTCTGCTATGGGAGCCAAGCCCTGTAATTGACTTAAGGGCATTGTTACATAATTTATGCCCCTTCCCTTCAAAGCAATTGTAACTTTATTCAGCACTCAGAGAATGTTTTAAGCAATACCACCCAGAAACTTTTTGTAACTACAACTCTGATATATGTAAAGTTATTATTATACAAAAATATTGTATGGGAAACATTAAAAAATGTATGAAAGAGAGAGAGAGTGCTTGGATGATGAGTGAATGGTTCTGAGAGGTGCCAGCCTGAGAATACAGCAACAAAGGGCTGAAGAAGGCGTCAGGTGCCAGTGCAACCAAAAGGTGTCAAATACTGAAGGTCCACCCGATGAGATCACTGTCAAGCACCTGGCAGCCACCCTGGAGACATCAGCATGATACAGCAATTTCCATAGACTGGCATAGGAAAAAATTCCTATAAGAACTGGACTAAAAAACTATGGAATCAGAGTCCAAGGTTCTGCTGCCAGCCCACCAGGAGCTTCAGATGCGCATCTGATCAGGACTTCGTTCCCC